GATTGGGAAATTGCCTTTGTGTCAGTCTTACTCTTTTGTTGTTCTTTCATCCTCCTGGGAATTATTTTCCACCCACCTTTGATTATCTTTTATCTCTTTCACAACAAGATGCTTCACAGGTGGGGTGTGGAGATGATTTTTTTTGTTCGTCCTTTCAGATCCATGTACATTTTTAAAGATTGCTCACTCTGTATTGTTCGTGCCATTTAAATGTTGAATTTTTAAAAGGTTATGGCAATTCCTGTGTGGGCAACAGTATACACATTTCGGAGGATTTGTTATAACGTAGTACACCAGATCTTTCCTATTCTGATTAGTCCAATTAGTCTTTTAGAGTGTTTTCATGAGACTGGAACTGTACCACTAGAGAGTGCCTCTAGCCAGGCTGAGGCGAGCATAACAATTCATCACGTCTCATCCAGGACCTGTTGTTCCCTTATAGTATGTACAGTAAATGCTCGGTTCTCTTGAAACTTTACCCTTAGCATAACAGTTTCCTTAAGTCTGAGCCAATATTTCATTCCTGCTTTCTGGCACTTCCCCAGGTGATACATACAGTAAATGCTCAGATAGCTTAGATTTATATCTTTGGTAATCAAAGCAACAGGTCAAGTATCAGGTGAATTACTGTAGTTACTAAAGAATCTGTCTCCGCACGACAGCCAGAATTAACACAGAGATTGAGAGAAAGCTAAGCTGTCCTACCCGTATCGTTTATTATTTTTAGCATTTCTAAATAAGCAGCCAACAAGGAAGTGGAGAAATGTAAGCAAAAGCAATAATGAATCAGGACTACGTAAGAGTGCATACATGAAAAATAACTGAGAATTAAGAGTGCTACAAGATTTTTTTAAATTGCATATGGTAATGTAAGGGTTTTTTTAAATGTTCTTTGTTATACCAAGGCAGGGGCAAAGGCAAAAGAGAGGGTAGCAGTGTGTATTCAAAGTTGTGCTGTTTTCCACTCTCTCAAGGACGGCTTTGCTACCCTCCTACACTGGGCAGTGCTACAGTCAGAGTGATGAGTGTCTGTGTTTTCTGCCTGTCAGCAAAGGTGGATCAGGCCTGCATGACCTCAGCAGCTTGCTAGGCCACAGCCAGGAAGGTTTGAATAGCCCCATAGAAAAGTCCAGCGTGACCCACTGCTGACACAGGCAAATCTTTGGGCCTGAACGCAGAGCATCCTGGTTCTCTCTCCGATACAGCTCTGAGCATGGTGGGTTCCTAGCATTACTAAAGAAGATCGCACTTGTTCTTGCACACAAGGTGCAATTCTTTTCCGATGCAGAGTGGAGTGCCACTTGAAGATGAGCCAAGGTACTGTAAAGAGCTGTATCTCTCCCTCATCTGTCTTGCTTCCTTTTTGGGAATGTCACGAATGAATACCCTAAAAGAATTCAGCTTTGTTCTTCCAACCAGCTGTTGCTCAGCTGGAATACTGCAATTGTGAAATCTGCCCTGGAAAATGTGTATTTGTTTTGCTCTGCTTTGTTTTGTCATCTGCCGAAGTAGGAATGCTCCTTTTCATTCTGTGATGGTTGAAAAGAGGGGCTTGGTGTTGGTGTTATATAGCATAATTAGGAATTATCTATATATGTAATGCTGCCTAAGAACTAATTCAGCAAGACCTCTGTTTCCAGAACGCCTATGAGAAGTACACGAATATACAGAATTGAGCTATAAGGTGGAAAACCCTTCCAGATGGGGACTTGTATTTTTTAATATGTAAAGCATTTAGTGACTTTTGAGTGCTATATAAATACCAAATAGCACAGAAAAGATACAAATGGCACGCAACCGACTGTCAGTGCAGCAAATTAAGCTTCTGTTTATAGCAGGAGTGTAAATATAGGGTTAACGGTTAATTCATTTAATGATGAATGTGACACCACTGTGTTATCCTGTAAGAACGTGAATAGAGATTTGCAGCAGACAACATGCTGTGAGCCCAAAAGAATAGGAAACTACTGCCTGCTTTTTTTAAAACTATTGCAAAATGTGGACACAATACTTGGACATAATAGACTGTGTCTGACAACATTTGTACAGTATGTAGCGGAGTGAGCCCCACTCAGCTTCCTATAGTTATCCATATATAGTGACTAAAATTGCAGACACTGAATTAACTCTGAATAACATATGAGCTGGAGTGACAGCCTTCATGTGGTTCTAGAAGGATGAGAATAAGATAGATGGCTGTTTGTGTAGATGTACTAAACTGCAAATCCAGGGGTCCATAGAGTATGGAAAATATGCCAAAAGCTGGGTTGTCCCTTCCATCCCACAGACCCCATTGATTTCCTGCAGGGCAGGAATCCCCCCTTGCAGAGCAGCTTGCAAGATCAGGGTAAATCCATTTCTAGTAACAGACTTTCTCACGCACCCTACCCACTACATTCACGTTTCTCCACTTAGCCCACCTTGGCATCCTTCTGAACCCTGTTATTTTTCAAAACTATTTGGAGAATAGAGAGTGAGTTCTGAATGCCAGCAAGCAACTCTGCCTCTACTGAACCAAGCGGAGAAAGCAGTTGCACTTGAATTTCCCAATTGCCAATTCTCCTTTTTCCTTTCTAACACCAGAATGGAAAGAGCTTTTAGCAAAACTCTCTCTCTAACTTTAGCGGCTGCTCCAGTACCATATAAGGAGACGGGCCATTTCCAAGATCCAAAATATTGAGGGTTTCAGGAGGTTGAGAAAATGGCGAGTTCATATTTATACAGAAACAAGTGGTATGTCAATCCAAATCACAGAACCCGTGCAAAATGCACTCTCTGACAGGAACGCCGCTAAGCAGCGGCGTTCAGCGCCTCGTTTTTAGGCAATCGTCAGGTAAAGCTCCATCTAGAATAGATTGAACTAAAGCAAGATGACAGGAACTGGGAACCCCCAAATCCGAAAGAAATAGCTTTAGGGATGAAAAAGGAGAGTGTGTAAATAGCAAAAGTAGAGGTACCACATTTTGGAGCCAATTGCTTTAGAGAATAAGTGTGTTTTTAAAAACGGATTAAAATAGATTTCTGCAATGGAGGAGCAGGGAGTGCACAAACATTTTTATTTTTGCTCTCAAGCAAATCCCGGGACGTCATTCTCCCCCTGTACTCGGCCTTAGTGAGGCCGCAGCTGGAGTATTGTGTCCAGTTTTGGGCTCCACAATTCAAAAAGGATGTGGAGAAGCTTGAGAGAGTGCAGAGAAGAGCCACGCGCATGATCAGAGCTCATGGAAGCAGACCTACGATGACAGGCTGAGAGCCCTGGGGCTCTTTAGCCTGGAAAAGCGCAGGCTCAGGGGTGATCTGGTGGCCACCTACAAGTCTATCAGGGGTGACCACCAGCATCTGGGGGAACGTTTGTTCACCAGAGCGCCCCAAGGGATGACGAGGTCGAATGGTCACAAACTACTTCAAGATCGTTTCAGGCTGGACATAAGGAAGAACTTCTTTACTGTCCGAGCCCCCAAGGTCTGGAACAGCCTGCCACCGGAGGTGGTTCAAGCGCCTTCATTGAACCCCTTCAAGATGAAACTGGATGTTTATCTTGCTGGGATCCTGTGACCCCAGCTGACTTCCTGCCCTTTGGGCGGGGGGCTGGACTCAATGATCTTCCGAGGTCCCTTCCAGCCCTGATGTCTATGAAAGTTAAGACACTTACAATGTGGGGTGCTTCCCTTTAGCTCCAAGCTGTTTAGTTGCTTTCTAATTCCAAGTGGTTATGAAGATAATGTGATTGAGCAGCTTTCTACCTCTTTGTCTCCTTGCCATTACTTTAAATCTGATTATCTCATAAACCACTTGAAGTGCCATGCTTTAATTAATTAAACCTGGTATTGAAATGCCTAGTGGGTAATGCAAATTGTGCCTGCCTAGATAACAAGAGAGAACCG